CTAATTCATGCAACTTCTTGTCCTCAGCATGCTCTGTTCTACCGTTTCTGCCTTCAATTGTACCTATGGTCTGTTGTGGATTTCAGATTTAACATCTACTGAACTTCCCAGACAATGTGCAGATGGCAGCTGTAATGATCGCGTCATGCCTTGCAGCTCACATGTTATATGAGACCAAGCTACAACCCACCCAGAAGTTCTCCTGCAGAACTGCAGTGAAATGCTGCAGTTCCTGGTGACAAATATATAAGCATGCATATACACACATACACGCTCACACACACACACACACAAACTATTTTTGTAGCAGTGTTTCTGCATTAACAACTCAGCTTGTGAAAAATCAAATTCCTTTATATACTTCCATTTTAATTAAAACCAATATGATTCTATTACTTCAGATGAAATCCAAAGAGCACCTGCTATTTTATTTTTTAATCTTCTTCTCACTTCAGTGCTAGTTCTTTCGTAAAAGATAGACATTTTAGATAGTTACATTTTTTATGCCTCATTTAGTGTTATTCTGGTTAAACAAAACTTGCAACTGGTAGTCTACATTTATGATGATAATCTGGAAACCATTGATCTCAGAAAGCAGGATAGCTGAAAACAGATGTGCAAGAAACTCATGCACCTTTTTTTTAAAAAACCCTGACTTGAAGCCCATTGTGGCCCTGAAAACCTATGAGAAATCTCACAGGTCTTTTAGGAGAGCAGTGATGTGTAAGTTTTGGGTTTTTTTGGAAGTTCCAAATACCATCTTTAGCCAAGTGCAGCTCACCTTAGCTAGATGGTGGCAATTTAATCATGAAGTTGGACACCCAGGTGCAAATAGGAAGATACGAAAAGGGAAGTACGTTATACACTTGCAGCTAATGCCTCTGCCGCCTAATGTTCATCTAATGCCCATTAAACAGTTTGGCTGTATTTTTTCACACGACTGGGAATGTGCAAACTGTTACAAGCAACTAACTGCACATTAACAGATCTAGACTGGTAAGCTTCACTCCATATAATGGCAAAACCTAAGCTCACTAATTATTTGGAGCATTTATAGACCACCTCTCCCCCCAAATAGGTCTCAAGGCAACAAGAGGATGGTACAACAGGCATGCCATTTGCCCAGTTCTGGCCCTCCTGCCTGTCCTTGCCTGTGGGCTGGTGGGAGAACAGTGGGTGTGTGGAAATGATGTCATGCGATCTGTCAACACCATGTCCCACTGAAAATGCTGATGTGATGTCAGTGTGTCAACCAATGCTCTGGAAACTATTTCTAGAGCACTGGCTGATGTCACATGCACCCCTTGTCTCACCCCCGGAGCTTGCGGACACGGCAATAATAGTACTCAAGGAGATGAGACAATCATTGCGTAAATTATAGAGCTCTTCTTAGATGGATGCAATTGATAGCATTCTTAGTTTTTCTGTTTCTTTTGGAAATGACATCAAATAAACGATAAAGGCTTCATGATGCATTCATATTCACCTTAAGAAAAATTTGTCACTAGGGGATAAGGATCCCAAAGAATCATTAAAGGTAAAGGTCCCCTTGCTCGAAAGCTAGTCGAATCCGACTCTAGGATTGCGGTGCTCATCTCCGTTTCAAAGCCGAAGAGCCAGCGCTGTCCGAAGACATTTCCGTGGTCATGTGGCTGGCATGACTGAACACCAAGGCTCACGGAACGCTGTTACCTTCCCACTGAAGGTATATATATAATTTTATCTATATATAATTTGTAAAAGTTTAGTGTGAATAAAGATAGGAACAAAAGTGTCAAGTCTGTACCTCTAGTGAGTTACAGATACTCTGATTTCCAAAAACGACAGGTTTGGGCTACCCATGAACAGTGAATGCAGTTCTTCTAGAGGCTTGTTGGAGGGAACAGAGATGTTTGCTTCAAAGGCTTTTAAGCAGACTAGGCAAGTAAAGGGAGCTGTTAATTATATGACAGTAAGCCTGATCTGGGTCACTACACTGGCAGAAAGTGAACTACTGCAATACAGATCTATTGCCTGTCATACAATCAGGCTATCTGTCTACAACAG